TGGAAGCTCGATTGACGACAGCAACTTCGAATAACGTTCAATGGCTGAAGGCAGGTGGCGCACATGGGCCGCTTTTCGACATCACGGGCTTCGATGCTGAAGGAGATGATAACAGTCCGTATACGACGTACACGCAGATGCCAGAGCTTCAAGGAGTGACGCTGGGATTGGTCATGTGGGGCTCCCCTCATTGGTCAGATTCGCCAGATGGTACTACGCAGCATTTCAGAGACTCCAACACATTCAAAACGAACGCGTTCGAGTCGATGTCATGGCTCAGTGGGTCAGCCTTCATCATCGAGACATTCCCCAGTCGATACAGACCCGAGTTCTGGCATCCTGCGTATAACAAGAAGGGCGTTGCGGATACGCGTGCCAAGCGCAGTTTACTTGTGACAGAGGGTTTCTTTCGTGAATACAGACCTCTGGGGTCAGGGGCTGAGTTTCGATTCCTTCCAGATGAGAGCGAAGCAACCATGGTTGCAATGTTGGTGCCGCAGAGATTCTCTCAGTGCGTGATTTGGAAGGGTCACCAAGTCGACGTAGGGATGACGCTAACCCACATTATGAACAATCTGGAAGATCAAGAGCGCGCTCTGGAACTTGGCGGGCAACATTATGGCCTCTCTTACGAGATGCACCTCGCGTGGCAAGAACTGTCGGTTGCTTGAAGTGTTGGCGAAATTACATCCACGTGTTCGTTAAGTGTCAACTGATGGTCGACCGACTATGTCTCCGCTGTAGTTACCGTTATGCACAATTTCATTTGAGTGTTAACTGCTGGTTGTCCGCGTCTGTTTCTGCTGTAGTTGCTGTTGTGTATTGTCCCATTCATATGTCAACTGATGGTTGACCGATCATGCCTGCGTTGCGCGTGATAATACTCTGCGTTTGTTGCGCACCTGTATAGAGCGTCAACTGCTGGTTGACCATTTTTGGCAACGCGCGACGCGACGCACGGACAAATGCAAAAGGGGGGAGAGGGAGAGAGCAAGAGAGAGGGAGGCAGAGAGAGAGAGAGAGAGAGAAAAACAAAACAGGGAACACATGATCACGAGATAGGAAGAGACGAAAGAGGGCGGTTGGTTTTTCAATCTGCGCTTCTCGCCTTGGCGCCGCGAACATTCTTCGCCTTCAAGGTTTGCTTCTCCCTCCCTCCCTTTTCCCCCTTTTCTCCTCCTCCTCCTCCTCCTTCCCTCTTCGCCATTGCCATTGCATGAGGGCTATTGCGTTGCGATTGACTGAAGAGCGGAGAGCCCGCGACACTCTCCGAGAGACAACCAGACAACCACTCATAGTAGTATTAGTAATAGTAGTAGTAGTGTTGGGATTATTAGTATTATTCCCAGTAGTCGTAGGTTATTTTGTGTTCCGCCGCAAAGGGAATCCTTTTGTATTCTACCTCAAAAGGAATCCGTTTGTATTTGCTATACATAGAATCCTTTTGTCTGCCGCAACAAAGATAATCCTTTTGTATTCTGCAACAGAGGAATTCCTTGTGTATTCATATACAAAAGGATATATACACAAGGATTCCTTTTGTAATTGCTAGAGGTGCTGGAACCATTGTGTTTTCAAAGTTTTTTTCAGATAGTTCCAATTAAAATCATTAGTTTCGTATGTGCCTGCACAGAGATCCAGAGAATTTTAATTGAAAATATTGTTTTTTTATGGCCAGACACAAAGATCACAGAGATTTTAATGATTTTCCAACTATGGAGAGTGGTTTTAATGAAAACTCTGTGAAAACACAAGGGTTCCATTGTTTTTCTAATCAGAAGTCAAAGGAAACCTTGTGTTTTCACAGAGTTCTGATTAAAACCACTCTCCATAGTTGGAAAATCATTAAAATCTCTGTGATCTCTGTGCCTGGCCATAAAAAAAAAACAATATTTTCAATTAGAATTTTCTGAATCTCTGTGCAGGCACATACGAAACTAATGATTTTAATCGAAATTCTCTAAAAAGCTGTGAAAACACAATGGTTCCAGCACCTCTATCAATTTCAATAGGATTCCCTTTGTGGCGGAATACAAAGGGATTCCTTTTGTGGCGGAATACAAAGGGATTTCCTTTTGTGGCGGAGTACAAAAGGATTCCCTTTGTGGCGGAATACAACGGGATTTGCTTTTGTGGCGGAATACGAAGGGATTCCTTTTGTGGCGGAATACAAAGAGGTTCCTTTTGTCGAGGAATACAAAGGGATTCCTTTTGTGGCGGAATACAATGGGATTTCCTGTGTGGCGGAATACAATGGGATCCCTTTTGTGGCGGAATACAAAGGGAGTCCTTTTGTGGCGGAATACAAAGGGATTCCTTTTGTGGCGGAATACAATGGGATTCCTTTTGTGGCGGATTACAAAGGGATTCCCATTGTTGTGGAATAGAAAGGAATTTCTTTTGTGGTGCAAAACAAAAGAATTCCCTTTGTAGCGGGTTCCCACCCCTCACATCCCAAGGACGACCCCCCACCCCGCAACGAATGCAAAAAGCTTCGTTGTAGGTCACTCTGAATGGGAATCCCATAACCCCGCCGCACTGTCGTGACTTGCGAAAGCTGAATTGGTGAGACCCGCATTGCCATGCCACGCGTGATTGGTGATGTTGCGAGTCAACATAAGAATATATCACTTTCGAATCGCCACTTCTCCCCGCGATAATAAAGTTTGGCCTTGCCGCCCCTCTGCCCCGACCAGATTTGCACTGGCCGGGAATAGTAAGCTCTCAGGTGTTAAGGGCGGGGTTATTTGTTCCATCGCCTCGCTCATTCCGCTGGCCCATATTGCCTCGCCGCTGTCGTTTGTCGGGGTGTTGTTGTCAATGGGGTGCCGTGTTGGGGCCTTTGGGGGTTTCTTGGGGTGAATTTTTGGGGCCTCTTGGGGCCTCCTGGGGGCCTCGTGGGGCTGAAGGCTGGACTTTTCGGCTCCTGGTCCCCATTGCCCCTCTTGGGTCTGTTTTGGGGCTCTCCTGGGCCGTTTTGGGCCTCTTGGGTTGTCTTGGGGCCATATTGGGCCGTCTTGGGGCCCTCTTCGACGCTTCTTGGGCGGTCTTGGGGGCCTTTTGGGCGGTCTAGGAGCGTTGGAAGCCGAAAAGGCGAGAAGTCCAACATCTTTCAAAAACCATGTAACATTGACGATTTTGGCTTTCCGGGGCCCTCTTGGGACTCTCTAGGGAAACCTGTTGGTGGCTTCATCGGGGGTCTTTTACGCGTCGTGGGCCGTCTGGAAGCCATCGTGGGTGTCTCGGACCGATCGCTCGGCGGCTCGGGGCTTTTTGGGCCTTGTAGGGGGCGTCCCGGCGCCCTCTTGACGTGCTCCCGGAGCGCCCTGGGGGAGGTCAGCCGGGCATCGCCCGCGCATCGAGGCGTCGCCAAGGGGCACTTTTCGCCCAGGGGGCCCCGGGGGCAGCCACGCGCGCGCGACCTCGAAATATTCTTAATTAAGCTGTTACCGGAGGTCTTAGCACGCCTCTGGCCCGTTGGGCCGGCGAATTCTCAGGGGGTCGCGGTTACATGGGGTCGGAGTATCGCGCCGCATCGCCGCTGCATTTGCAATGCATCGGCGATGCTTTGGCGATGCGGCGCGTTCCACCGACCCCATCTACTCGGACCCCTTTTGGGAGGTTCCTAATCCGGGGAGGCGTAATTTAGACTCGAGTTCGCCAGAACTCTGTTTGCCGACGCTTCTTGATTCCCCATCCTGAATTTTGGCGTCCAGTGTTCGTGTAACTGTTGCAGCGGGAGCTTGCGCCAAAATTCAGGCAGGGCCTCGTCAAGTTCCTGACGGCCCCGCCGGCAGGCCAGCTCGAGTCTCCCGAACCCGAGACTTACATTGCCCCGATTATTTTCTTCAGAGGAGCAACGAGTCATGATAGTGGTAAGTTCCAAGGCGTCTCGCATTTCTCAGATGTTTCAGGATGTTCTAGTGTTCTGCACGGGCTCCTGAAGCCAGGGCCGCGATATAGATGCTCCAGAGTTCCTGCAGTGTGTCCTGAGCCACTCGCATCTTGACGTCACTCTCGCCTTGCTTGACATCACTCTCGCCCTGCTCCTCCGAGGATGTGTCTGGCGATGGGGGGGCGTCCAGTCAAGCAGTGGCGAGAAGTCCTGGCGTGCTAGGCCCACCAAACAATGTTCTAATAACCTTTCCATGCTTTCTACGACATTGTCTCACAACATGTCTGGCCGAGACTGTCTTGTTTTCACACATCGGGCTTATGTTCTAAGAACATTGTTGTTGTTCTTAAAGCATTTCTGAGTTCTAAGAACAAGTCGTGGTAGGCCTATTGGAATGCCGGGACGGTCGGTCCCTGCTCAATCCAGAAAGCCCCAAAGCGGTGCGGTGGCGGGCCGCGCGGTGAGAGGTGAGGTCCTTCCTTGGGATGTCGAGGGCACTGCACGGCCTGTCGCCTCACCGTTCTGGGACCCCTCCAGGACCTGCCCCTCCTCCCTCCTCCTCCTCCTCCTCCCCCTCCCTCCTCCTCCCCCTCCCTCCTCCCCTCCCCTCCTCCTCCTCTCCTCCTCCTCCTCCTCCTCCTCCTCCTCCTCTCTCCTCCTCCTCCCTCCTCTCTCCTCCTCCTCCTCCTCCCCTACCCCTCCTCCTTTCCTCCTCCCCTCCTCCTCCTCCTCCCTCCCTCCCTCTCTCTTCCTCGCTCCTCTCCTTCCTTTTCCTGCTCCTTCTCCTCCCTCCTCCTCATCCTCCCTCATCCCTCCTCCTCCCTCCCCCTCCTCCTGTTCCCTCCTCCCTCCCGGACATTCCCGAGCGCCGTGCTGAGGGGCATTCGCTCGGGGCAGGAGGCGCTCCTCTGGGCCCGCAGAGGCCGAACCCTCGGATCGGACGTGTCTTGCTCCCACCAGCCTGGAACAGATCCCCATCACTGTGACTGGCATCGCCTCGTCTCGATGCCAAACTTCAAGATTCCCACGGCTTCCAAGGTTGGTCTTAGGGTCAGGGATCAGTTCGGGGCTGGTTATGTTCCGGGCCCAGCCCGAGCCTCCCGCGATGGCAGACCGCGACCTCGCCGGCTACGACGCGGAGCTCGCGAGCAGGGCGCGGGTGATCCCTGGCCTCGACGCGCGCCTAGCGCGCATCGATGCCAGGGCTGGCACAGACAGCTTCCACGTCCTGCAGGGCCTCAAGGACCCCGAGGCCGAGCGGGAGGTGTCCAAGTGCTGCTACCTCTACCAGCGCTTCGGGAGCACCGGGACCAGAGGTGCAATAGAGGTGGACGTCCCGATTTGCGGTTTTCGGGCATTTTCGTCGGTTCTCGTCGGCTTTCCAGCCGCGGGATGCCTTCCAGCGGCTGCGCCTCGCCGAGAGCGGTCCTGCGATGCACGGATCGTACCGAACGGTCGCTGGGGAGCCGAGTTATGGCTCGAAAGCCAAAGGGTAGTAACGTTAAGGGGGGATAGGCTCAGGGGGGGATGCGTTGACCCCCAATCTCCCAAGCATCGCCGATAGGGCCCCGATTATCCCGCCCCGTCCGGGGACGTGCGGATTCGCTATCGGGGGCATATCGCCGATCTCTCGGCGCTGTATTGCCGATGGCGGGTCGATGTTTCCCTCCTTGAGCTGGCCCCCCCTGACGGTTCCCCCCCAATGGATGATTTTCCTCCTCCCCCCGCCTCCTCCTTCTCCTCCTCCTCCTCCTCCTCCTCCTCCTCCTGACCTCTGGAGTCATGAGCAAGTCAGCGATTCTCCTCGGCGCTCGCAGGCCCGCTCGGGGCCCTGGGTGCAGCCAAAGGTCCGGCCCGCGGCGAGGAGCTGGTGTTGGGCACGGGATGCGAGACCTGATAAGGGGGTCGGCGCCGCGGAAACAAACACACGTGGCAGGTCCGGGCCTTTCTTCTGTTGTGCCTCTTGGCCTCCTCCTCCTCCTCCTCCCCTCCCCTCCCCCTCCTCCTCCTCCTCCTCCTCCTCCTCCTCCTCCTCCTCCTAGAGGTGGAAGGTCCGATGGAGCAGCCGAAGGTGGCGAGGTTGTTCGCCGAGGTCTTCAAGACCAAGACCGGCTCCGAGTTTGGATCGGTTCAGCCTGGCGACAGGGCGAACCCGGGCATGTATTGGCTGCAGCAGCAGGAGCGTGGGAACAAACAGAAGACGAAAGTTCCGAAGCACTTCTTATTCATAACCGCCGCCTGCGGAATCGATCTTCGGGGACATCGGCAGGCGGCGGATATGGATAATTAGATTGCCCCCCCTCTAATCCCCGCCTCGCAATACCGCTGCTCCCAGGCCCTCTCCTGGAGTGCGCCCTGACCAGGATTCCGAGGCGAGTCCAGCCGTGGCGGCGTCGGCTCCCCAGGCTGGCCTGGAAAGGCGGAAACGAAGCAGGTTCGGGCGGGGCCAGGACTGGGGTAGAAATAGTTTCAGAGCTTTCTGGAACCCTCTCGGAGCGTTCAGGAGCGCTTCGGCACGGCCGCGGCGCCCGATGCACCCTCCAGGCCCGCCGACCCTCGGAGATTGCCAATGTGTCCCCATCCAGATCTACCCTCATCCTGTCTTCGTCTTGTATCGGAATCGGCGGCATGTTGCTCCCCTCTGACAGGCGACACCGGACCTCAAGGCGCAGTGGCAGTACTACGTCAGCGACGGGGTGGACGGCAAGAGGATAGGAGGGAGGAGACTCAACACAACCACCATGAAGGGCAACGATAGGAGGAGAGGCTCAAGTCGGGCCTGTCCCTCTACATGAGTAATGTTCGAAAATAGTCAAAGTATAGTGTGGGGGCGATTTTTCATATTATGTGTGAATCGTTTTGAGCATTATTTTTAAAATATACTTGTCGTCTAACATCCGCCTGTAGGAGAACATGCCCGAGCTAAAGATAGGCTCAGGGGGGGATGCATCGACCCCTAATCGCCCACGCACCGCCGAGACCCGGCGCCGATCCAGGAGACCCGCGCGAACCTCAGAGAGTTGTTTGATCCTTATATTTAAGTCGGGCACGTCCCTCTACAGGGGGAATGTTCAAAAGTAGTTACAGTATAGCCTGGGGGCGACTTTTCTACTATGTTTGACTATTTGGGAGCATTTTTAGTGTCATGTTTTACGTTTCGTCCAGAATCCGCCTGGAGGAGGACACGCCCGACCTAACTTTATATTCAGTTGATTGTTCTATCTGCTTCTGAGAGGACAGGCTGGTACCCGTACGAGGGCTCGGCGTCCGACGAGGTGGAGGAGCTCTATTCCCAGCACGTGGCCAACGCGCGCGAGAGCCGCACCGCGACGCGCGTGGTGTCGTCGGGCTACTTCACGTACCACGTGGAGCCGCACCGCTCCGCGGGAGGGACACGGCCGGACTGGCGCGCGCCGCTCTGGCGGCCATATGCCCAGACGTGCTCGCGTCGTGAGAGAGCCCGACGTCAAGGTTCTGACCGTTTCCGGCCTCCAGGGGCCCTGGGACCGTCAAAAGTTAGTCGGGATGCAAAACTGGCCCTGGGGATTCTCTAGGGACCGTGGGGGCAGATGGGGGTCGGGGAATCGCAGTGCATCTGCGTTCTAATGCGTCGCCGATGCATGCGTGCGCGGTCCGGAGCCTGATGTTCTTCGCCCCGCCGCTGCCGAGGCATCGGCGATGCGGTGCAATTCTCCGACCCCTCCTGCTCTGGCCCGATGTGGGCGGCCGCCCCGTCCCCGAACCTCATGGGGGGTCCTCCTTGCGACCGTCTTGAGACCGTCTCGGAGGCCGTCCTTGGGCCATGTGCCCCCCATAGGGTCACACGGCCATCTCGGAGGCCGCCTCTCAGGCCGTCTGGGAGGCCGTTATCCCTGCGGCCGTCTCGGAGGCCGCTAGGGAGTACGAAGGTCTGCTTGGACCGTCTTGGCGGCCTGTTGGACCCTTCTTGCGCCATCTCGGGTCCCCTTGGACAATCTCGAGAAGGTCTTGGGTCAAACTTGTGCTGTCTTGGGCCCCTCTTGAGCATTCTTGAGGCCCCTCCTAAGCATTCTTGAAAGCCTCCTGAGACGAAACGCATGGAAAGCCAGTATTCGTCTTCAGAAGCACGTGGCTCACGGCTTCTCGACGAGTTTGACTGTATGGGGTCTAACCAGGTGCCTGCGGTAAATCCGCCACCGTGTCAGCGAAACACTATGTGTACCGACCCGTCGAGCACCTCCCAGACAGCCGTCACATGTGACACCTCCCGTATTCAATGTTTTGGGGAGGTCCCATGTGGCCCATTAGTGTCAGTTTGTGATGAACAAATGGCCGGACACCCCCCCGGGGCTGATGAATAGACCCCGCGGGGCGCGAACATTGGTTTAAATCACGCGCGCCAGGGGGTCGTCGCTGGCGCCGCCGAGGGGGTCGTGTACCCCCCTGCATGACAGCCTCAAAACGAGTGCCTGTCGTATAAAAGATGCCATAGGGGTCGTACACATCCGAGGCGAATGTGTTCCTCCTTTCAGGCGTCGTCGTCGTCGTCGTCGTCGTCGTCGTCGTCGTCGTCGTCTTCTCTTCTTCGTCGTCGTCGTCGTCGACTACGCGGGTCTGCGCAGCACCCCCCCACCAATCGGGCATCCGCAGTGCGTCGTCGTCGTCTCCGCCGTCGCCGTGTGCCGTCCGCCGTCCGTCGTCCTCGTCCCGTCGTCGTCGTCGTCGTCGTCGTCGTCGTCGTCGACTACAGAGACCACGACTGACAAGGGGAGGAGGACTGCCCGCCTTGCTCGGGTCGGGCGAAGGCTGGGGACGAAAAGGGGCGGTTGCGGAACCTGGTGCGCGCTGCTGGTTTCGGTCGCCCCCGCGGAGGAACCAGTCCTCGATGCATGGCCGCTTTCGGCACCAGGGGGCGCCCGGAAAATGAGCAATGTGAGCTGTGGGCAAATCCCCTCTTGGCCACGCCCCCCTTTTCGTCCAGCCCGCCATGCTCGCGGGCCCGCGAGGCAGCTGGCGCCCTCCTGGCCGCGGCCAGAGCAAAGGAAGCGCATCGGTTCGACAGAAAGAGGCACGGAAAGTGCGGGGGCGAGCGCCGACAGCAGTTTTTCATTTCAAGCAGGTGGCGCCGTGGCTCACGGTCCCTGCTGCTGCCGCCCTTGTCTCCTGCCCCCCCTCCTTTCCCCTAGTTTGTGCTGTGTGTCGTCTTCTCGTTGGCGGCCGGGCATCGGCGCTATTCACCGACGCCGCCCCGTTGATGTTCAACCTGGCGAGCGACATCCCGCAAGTCGCCGGAGCTGGGGGACTATGTTTTAAAACGCGCGCCCCCCGCGGTCTTTGGTAATCACGTGCCGACATTCGGGCTGCCGGGGCTGTAGTGCGCTTTTGCGTGACAGTAACCCTGGGAAGCAATCAGTAAACCCCCCTCCCCCCCCCCCTCATCAGAGGAAATTATAACGCTTCCAGCACCGGGGCCGGGGCGGAAACGATATCCCCCGCAGGTCACCAGAGGTCCGCGGAGGGGAGGTCCCCAGAGGTTCCCAGGAGGCATCCAGAAAAGGCCTCCGCAAGCCTCTGAATGCCCGGTCCCCTTGTAGTCCAGAGCCCAGCGACAAGGCACACCTGCCCAGAGTCGTTTCCTGTGATTATGTGCGTTTTTGTGAGATTCGTCAGAGATTCCTCTGATACTCCGATTGGCTTCTTTTGAGATTCCTGGCCGTTTCCATTGTGATTATTTTGGGGTTCCTTTGAGACTCCTTTTGTGTTCCTTTGATGTTATTCTGGGGGTCCCTTGAGGTTCCGGTCATATCCGTTTGATACCCCATTGCTTAAGAGAGCATCACATCGACATCCGGGGCGGTGGATTTTTTATTTTTAGTGCATGTGCTAACATATCGCGGGGGGGTTCGCGGAATCCGTCTGCGATATCCCTCCGTGGACTCTCCCATAGGATCCCCTGAAAGAATCATTTTCCCTAGTGCGGTGGCAATAAGGATTGCTTATGTCCACGCGAGCCCGCGTTTTCCAAATTCCTTAGATTCCTTTGTGGTTCGTTTGAGCTGCCGCTGAGATGCCTTTGCGATTTCTGTTGGGCTCCTTTGAGATTGCTTTGAACTTCCATTGGTTCCTTCGATATCGTGCGTGGGATTTCTTGTGATGTTCTTATGGGATTCCTTTGGGGGTTCTTTCGAGTTCCTCTGACATTCCTTCGACAATCTCTGAATGGGGGCATCCCATCGACCTCTGGCGCCTGTGGATTATTTTATTTCCAATAAATGTGCTAACATATCGCGGGGGGGTTCGCGGAATCCGTCTGCGATATCCCTCCGTGGACTCTCCCATAGGACCCCGTGAAAAAAACATTTTTTTTTGCGGCCGCAATAGGGTTTGCTTATGTCCACGCGAGCCCGCGTTTTTCAGATTCCTTAGATTCCTTCGTGGTTCGTTTGAGCTGCCGCTGAGATCCCTTTGCGATTTCTGTGGGGTTCCTTTTTGAGATTATTTTGAATTTCCAATCGGGGTCCTTTGAGATTCTGCGTGGGCTTCCTTCTGAGATTTCTCTGGGATTCGTTTGGGTGGTCCTTTCGAGTATAGTTGCTTGCGGTGATTTCATTGTTTGTCATTTTTGATGTACCTTTGATTTCCGATGCGCGTCAGTTCCCCAGTGTTCTAGCAAGGCGGGAACCCATTGGCAAGCGTTCGTGCGCGTTGGTTCTTCAGGCTGTCGCCTCGCGTTGCCGCCAGCTTCGGGCCCGGGGGGGGCAAATTAAGTAATTAATTATTTCCCCACATCCTGAGTGGGGTTCTTGTTTTCCCAGAACACCCTCTCCTTCCCACCCACCTCCCGCTCCATCTTCCATACAGCACAAAATTATTCCTACCACACACACCATACCATACCATAGATCCTACCACACATACCATACCATACCATACCATACCATACCACACCATACGTACCATACCGTACCATATCATACCATGGCGTACCATAACATACCATACCATATCACACCAATACCACACCGTACCATACCATACCATAATTCCAGTACCATACCATACCATTACATATCATACCATACCGTACCATACCATACCTACCATACCATTCCATACCACTCCATACCGAAAACCATACTACTTACATGGTTTCGTGCCCCCCCCCACCCCTCCAGGGAGGCCCCGCCTGAACGAGGAGGGTGTCGGAAAACCATACTATTTACATGGTTTCGTGCCCCTCCTACCCCTCCAGGGAGGCCCCGCCTGAGCGAGAAGGGTATCGGAAAACCATACTATGTATATGGTTTCGTGCCCCTCCCACCCCTGCAGGGAGGCCCAGCCTGAGCGAGGAGGGTATCGGAAAACAATACTATTTACATGGTTCCGTGCCCATCCCACACCTCCACGGAGGCCCCGCCTGAGCGAGTAGGGTATCCGAAAAACCATACTATTTACATGGTTTCGTGCCCTTCCCACCTCTCCAGGGAGGCCCCGCCTGAGCGAGGAGGGTATCGGACAACCATACTATTTACATGGTTTCGTGCCCCTCCCACACCTCCAGGGAGGCCCCGCCTGAGCGAGGAGGGTATCCGAAAACCATACTATTTACATGGTTTCGTGCCCCTCCCACCCCTCCAGGGAGGCCCCGCCTGAGCGAGGAGGGTATCGGAAAACCATACTATTCACATGGTTTCGTGCCCCTCCCACCCCTCCAGGGAGGCCCCGCCTGAGCGAGGAGGGTATCGGAAAACCATACTATTTACATGGTTTCGTGCCCCTCCCACCCCTCCAGGGAGGCCCCGCCTGAGCGAGGAGGGTATCGGAAAACCATACTGTTTACATGGTTTCGTGCCCCTCCCACCCTCCAGGGAGGCCCCGCCTGAGCGAGGAGGGTATCGGAAAACCATACTATTTACATGGTTTCGTGCCCCTCCCACCCTTCCAGGGAGGCCCCGCCTGAGCGAGGAGGGTATCCGAAAACCATACTATTTACATTGTTTCGTGCCCCTCCCACACCTCCAGGGAGGCCCCGCCTGAGCGAGGAGGGTATCGGAAAACCATACTATTTACATGGTTTCGTGCCCCTCCCACCTCTCCAGGGAGGCCCCGCCTGAGCGAGGAGGGTATCCGAAAACCATATTATTTACATGGTTTCGTGCCCATCACACCCCTGCAGGGAGGCCCCGCCTGAGCGATGAGGGTATCCGAAAACCATACTATTTACATGGTTTCGTGCCCCATCCCACCTCTCCAGGGAGGCAAAAACATACTATTTACATGATTTCGTGCCCCTCCCACACCTCCAGGGAGGGCCAGGAAAACATGCTGTTTACACGGTTTCGTGTCCCCCCTCCACTCCTCCAGAGAGGCCGCGCTTGAACGAGGAGGGTCGCGGAACGCATTACTCTTCGCCAGGTTTCGTAGCCCTCCCCCCTTCCAGCGGGGCCCCGCCAAAGCGAGGAGGGCATCAAGAAAATGGGTCCCACGAAACCGTTAATCTCTTTATGTGGGGAACTCCGTTAGCATAATTTATTTTATTTTTCATGTGCTAACGATAGCGCCGGAGGGCGCCGCCCAAAATAATTGTTTATGTTATTTTCTGTGCTAGCGATATCGCCGGGGGGGGTACTGTTTGCTTGCCAGGGTTATTGGGGTTCCCTGGGGGCCCTGTTGGGCAATCTTTAGGCTCTCTTGATCCATCATGGGGTTCCCTAGGACCGTCGTTGAGCCCTTTTGATCGTCCGGTGGAGCGTCTTCGGGTGTCGATGGGGCCGTTTCAGGCCGTCGAGGGGCCATTCGGAGGCCCTCTTGGGCCAGTTTGGATCCTTGGATATCGAAGTCGGCAATGCTGGGATCTACAACAACCGCAAGTGGACCGATCTTCGACCCAAGACCATGGATGGCAGAAAACGCGGAACACACATGTTGGCAAATCACGTGTTTGGCGTTTGGATGGCCTTATGGAAAGCGTTTTGGGTGTGTTGCGTGGCCTCTTGCAAGCCCTTCGGGATTTATCCAGCTGCCTCCGGCAATTCTGCGTCCACGCCAACGGATCATATTGGGTAGCGGTTATTCGAGAAGGCGCCGAAGGCAATCACGTCCGACACCTTGGGCCTCTCGAAGGCCCTGGGGGCCTCGTTGGGTGCTGGGAACTTCGTGGGGGTTCGTGGCAGCGTCTCGGGAGCGCTTCGATGGCTTTGGGAGGCGTCTGGGTCCGACTGAGGGCGTGTTTGGGCCGTCTGGGAAAGTTCGGAGTCTGTCTTGGGAGTTCTCTGGGTCATCTTGGGGCCCTCTTGGGGTCCTCGGGGGCTGTCTGATGGCCCCCTTGGGCCGGCTTGGGGTCCTCTTGGGCTGCTTACGGGCGATCTTGGAAAATTCGTGGGCCTCTTTGGGGCCCTCTTGGGGTCCCCCCTGGGAGTCTTCAAGCCATCTTGGAGGTTTCCTGGGCCTTGTTGAGCTCACGGGATCCCGAGAAGGTGAGAATGCAAAATTTAATCAACACTTTTGCGGAACATACTTGGTTTTGGTTTCTTCGGGCCTTGCTGGAGGTTCTTTTGAAACCCTCTAGGGCCGTCTGGAAGGCCTCTTCGGCAGTCCCGAGGCCATTCTTGGCCTTCTTGGACGCATCTAGGGCCATATTGGTGGCCATGATGGCCTGCCTGGACCGTCTTGGACCCGGAGCATTTCAGTCGTTTTGGAGAGCGCGGGGGAGGCGTCTGGTAGCCCAGGGAGCCTCGGGAGGAGGGGGCGGTTCTTGCAACCAGATGCTGGCAGAGGGCGGGGTGGCCATTGGAAGACTACCGAACCCCTGCTCGACAGCATCTGGTGTTTCACCCCACGCCTCAGCGTGCCAGGGGGCACGGCGTCGCTTTCGGCACTTTTTGGGCGCTCTCGGGTGCCTATTGAGGCACTTCTAGACTATCTAGTCGGCCTCGGTGGCCTTCCCCGGCCGTGCTGTAAGCCTCGGAGAGCGCCAGGGCGGCGTCGGGGCACACAGGACGGGATGGGGGATGGGGATGCGCGCGGCCGGATGCGACGAACGAGGAGGGTCCACCAGAAGAGTACGGAAGACGTGCCAGACAGCCCTCGTGACTCTGGCAAGCCTCCACGTGTCAGGGTGCACGGTGGCGGATTCCAGCGCCTCCAGGGGGTATCTCTCGGGGCCTCCTCTGCGGCGTTCCTTTGGGGTTCCTGGGTCGTCCTGGAAAACTCTTTGGGCCGCCCTGGCAACCTGCCACGGTCCTCTTGAGCCGTCTGGCCCGCATCCGGACTCCCTCATATGGATCACCTTGAGAGTTCTTCGGGTACCTCTCTGGCTCCTCCTCCTCCTCCTCCTCCTCCTCGTCTTCCTCGTCCTCCTCCTCCTCCCCCCCCTCCCCCTCCTGCTCCTCCTCCTCCTCCTCCTCCTCCTCCTCCTCCTCCTCCTGGCACCTGTGCCACTCCTGCTTGCCCGTAGGGGCCAGGAGTACCCCGCCCACCGATCGAGAAAAATGGGTCAACCTACTTTTTGGGAGGGGCTCGGAGGGCTTGGACATCTCGCACGCCGGTACCCACGGGGTCGGCGAACTTGGACAACATGAAGCAGACGAACCAGCGGACGAAGAAGGTGAGGTCCATCCGGCGCGCGCACGGCGAGGAACCCAGAGAAGGCGGCGCCACCAGCGCAGGCAGGGAGGTGATGAAGGCGATGAAGGCAAAGGCAAGAGCCATGACGCCGATGGCGGCGATGAAGAGGCCGGCTAAAGCGGCGATGAAGGCCGCGAAGGCTAAGAAGAGGATCAGCAAGGTTGGCACGAAGGCCCAGGTGCTCGCGGGCAAAAGGGAGAAGACTAAGTGGGGTCTGCGGAAGGAGCACCTCGTGAAGAGCAAGAAGGGCAAAACCGTGACCAAAAGGAAGAGCGCCGTTGGCAAGAAGGCGTTCGATCAGAACCTTGCAAAATGGATCCTTTCGTTCAGGAGGGCGCGAGCGGAGCTAGGCCTTACTGGATTCGTGCTTGTTAAGAAGGGGACGGCCTTGTATAATAAGACCAAGGAGTACTACAACATTGCCGCTGGATCATAGGAACTCTCCTACTGGGCAAAAAGCTTGCTTGGCCGATCCATTCCGTGTTTTTCCGGGCCAGCTCTGTTGTTCAACGGGCGTGTGCAACATGCGTTCATCTGGAGACCTTCGGCACAGCCGCCAGTTGTCCCTCGCGTGAGGCTACGGAGGATCGGAGGGGAATTGAGGACCCCAGGCCAGTCAAGGTACACCAAGTGTGCAGTTTGTTTGTACCAAGCCGTGCCAAGCATCCACTTCTCTTGCACAGCCGTCGCGCATCAGTAGGCCGACACTTCAGGAGGGAAAAGACACAGACAAAATTAATCGTCGATCCCAAGGAACATGTGCGAAAATCTGGAAAGTAGTGGGGAAGACGAGACTCCCCAAAAAATGTGAAAATATGGGGAATCCTGGGATGTGTGTGTGTGTGTGTTTACTTGTGTGCGTCCCAGGGCCCCGTTGGAGACTGCAAGAGCAAGGGTGCCCTGCTGCCCCCCTGCCTCCGCTCGATTGGCCTTCCGACCTGCCCTGTGCGCCCCGCTGCCCCTCGGAGGAGCTCTCCACTCTCTCCGATTCCCGCCCCGTTTGCGCTCCGACCGTGCTCTCCATCCGGCGACGAGGGGGGGCTGCAGCGGGGCACGAGCTTTAAGTCGGGCGTGTCCCTCAACAGGAGGAATGTATCAAAACATATCTAACAAAACCATGGTTTTGGAACGGTTCTTGGATGAGTTAAACACATACAGGTTTGAGCATTTTTTGAATCTTTGTTGTTGTTCGACCAAGGTTCGCCTGTAGGGGGACATGCCCGACCTAACACGAGTTGTTCGTCGGTGGAGGTGAGTTGGGGGGGGGGCCAGGCGCGGGGCGCTGCGGGTTTTGCTGAAGTGGCCGGGGGTTGGGGGGGCACGACCGGAGGGTGTCACGAGGGTCTCTGTCCCATACTTTTAGACTCGGCAGTGCCCAGGCCCACAAGCTGCCTAGGCTTCCCGTGCCCCACCGCCTCGTGGCAGATCGATCTCTTCAGAGTTGGAGGTCTTGAGGATGGAAGCAGACGTGCAAGCAGTGCCAATTGTACAGCGGCTGATGCGGCAAACCACCACCCTTGAGGAGTGTTCGCGTTGAAAAGGAGCGGCGGTCTGGTGCAGCACGAACCGGAGAGAGGGTCGCTGCAATGTGCAGTGAAGAGTGCCCCCCAAGTAACGCATGAGAGCTTGGCTTTTTTCCTCCTCGTCCCATTCGGATGACGGCCACATTGAGTCTCGAAAGCTGGGCGAGGGCTGCTGAAACCGGGGCTGCTAAAACGGCCCTCCTGGAAGGAGAACACAACTTCCCGGAATGAGGTGCGGCACGCGAAACAGTCAATGGGCTTCTTCCCGGAAGGCCGAAGACAATTTCCCGGAGGTCGATTTTAGCAGCCACGGATTTAGCAGCCCTTGCCCGGCTTCCGAGAGACGACGGCGGCCACTCAAAAGGAGGAGGAGGTCACCACCCACCAAACCGCCCCAACCCAACCCGAAGGCTCAGATTTACCCTCGATTTCTAGTAGGGGGGGGTCGGGAAACATCGAGAAAACACGCGTGGAACCCGTACCCCCCCCAACCCGAAATTCGGGTCTTCGGGTCGGGTTGGGGTGGTCTGGCAGGTAGTCAGGAGGGAGGAGGGAAGAGCAGGAAGGCCGATGACGACTCAGCTCGCCCTCCTCCGAATCCCCGCCAACGTCTTCGGAGTGTGCACGGCCCGCCCAGGTGGTCACGTGCCGTGAGAGCGTCCTGACGGGGCTGAAGACGCTCGGGCGGTTGAAGCGCGTCACAAGGCTCACCTTGAGCGACGCCGGAGGAGATATGGATAGAGAGAGAGAGAGATTAGGAGGGAGAGAGACAGAGAGAGGGGGGAGAGGGAAGGAGAGATACAGAGAGAGAGAGAGAGAGTGGGAGGGAGAGAGAGAGAGAGAGAGAGAGAGAGAGATGGAGAGTATTTTCATTTTTGTACTTACATATGCTAGAACCCCGCCCTGTTGCTATACTCTCTAAGTGCCTCCCTTGGGGCCTCCCCGGAGGCCTTCCGTGGGCATTTGGAGCCTCACCGGAGTATCCCGGGCCACACTGGAGCTTCCGGGTAGGTCCCGAATGGGCCCCTCAGAAGGGCCCTTGTGGCTTCCGAACGGCCCCAGATGCCGTCAGGACGGCCCAAAGAGGCCCCCAAGATTCCCCAAGACAGCTCCAGGAGGACCCCGAGGAGGGCCCGGAGAGGCAGACCTCGTCCCATTCCCGTGGTGTAGTTGGCGCGCAGTTCCAGCACACTGGCCTGTCTGATCTCGGCAGCGTCCAAGGCGGCCTGTTTAGAGGAGGCCCCCAGGAGAGCCCCAGGGCCCAGGGCGGCCCTACGAGGTCCCCAGAGGGCCCCGAGGCGGCGCAAGAGGGCCCCGCAGAGGCCTTCGGGACCGCCCAAGACGGCCCTACGAGGGTCCCGAGAGAGGCCCCCCCGGGGGGGAATTCGCACCAACATGTCGAGGCCTCCGCCCCAAGAGGACGCCGAAGGCCCCCAGCAGGCCCCCGAGGACTCCCCTAGAGGATCCCCAGAGGACCTACAGGAGGCCCAAGAGAGAGACCTGAAAGAGGACCTGCAAGGCGCCCCCAAAGGTCTCCAAACTTTTTCCAAGAGTCTGCCCAGAGGCTTCCCCGGAGACCCGAACAGGCATTCCGGAGGTCTCAGGCGGCCCCCGTAGAGAGAGTCGCCTGATCTTTTTTGTACGCCTCATATTCAAGACACAGGCATGCAAACACTCACCCCTCACTCCTTCTACTTTCCTCTCTCCTTCTCCTCTCACTCCTCATCCTCCTTCTCTTTCATCCTTACGTTCGCACCCATCCACGCCCTTTTCCCTGGCACTTCGCATCACCTCTCTTTCCTGCGCACTCCCTCGTGTCCACATCGCCTCCGCCTTTCTCTTCGTCCAGCCGTACTCCATACGCCTCGCGTGCAGCGTCCGCCGTTCCCTCCCCTCTCCCGCCTCCTCCCTCCCTTGTCTCCTGCCCTCTGCCTCGCACACCTCGCCCTCCTGTCCGCCTCGGCGATCCCCCCCCCTCGTCCCTGCTTCCGTCCTGCCCCTCCCCGTCCCTCTCCTTGTCGCTTTGCATCCCCCTCTCCTCCCTCTAACCTCCTCCTCCAGCCCCATTTCTCTTTCACGGTCGCCTCCTCCCTCCACCGTCCCTCTTCCCCACCTCCCCCCTCCGTGATCAGTTTCCGCCTGTTCCAGCCTTCCTCCACTCGACTCGTCTTCCATTCATTTACCGGAAGCCCGACCCCCAGGTTGCCCCTAAGGTCCCGAGCCGCAGCACACGGGGCACCTGGTCCTTACGTGGCGCCTCCCCTCCGGGGGCCTCTCTGGAGCATTCCCCGAGATCCCCCAGTTTCCCGGAAGGCTCCCAGAGCTGTGCAGAAGTTCCAAGAGGGCCGTACACGATGGTCCCAGGAGGCCTCCAGGCTGCCCCAGGAAGCTTCTAGCAGCACAATAAGGCCCAAAGCGGCCGCCAAAGCACCCGCACAGGATTTCAAAGAGGACCAAATCAGTCAAAAACCATAAGGAAGCCCAACGTATTTTCACATCTTGTTTTGAATTCCCATTTATTGCCAACGCGTGGCTCCAAGATGGCCTAAGGGATCTACTAAATGGTCCCGAAGAGAGATGCAAGCCGGCCCAAGGATAGCGCAGGACTGTCTCGAATATAAAGCCTCAAGGTGACTTCAGACACCAAGGCGCGCACTTCCAAGCCAAAAGACCCGATCTTACAGACACGGCGGCCCCTCTGCAAATAAAATTTGAGCGCGCGCCACGCGCGCGCGATTGTTCTAGTATAGAGCATCTCTATGTATACATGTATGTGTTAGCTATCGTGGGCCCAGAGCAGTGTGTTTCTAGCACTGTATGTGGTGCAATATCTTACCTAGGGCAGTATATATGAAGCTATCTGTATTGTGCAATATCGGTTGTAGCATACTGATGTGCAATCCACGTGGGGCAATATATTCGGCGCAATCGATGTGATGGAACTCACTTCGCAAAAATCGAACTTGTCCCCTCCATTCCCACGCAATCATCCCACCCATCCAACCGCAAATTGGTTTGGAAAACCAATGTAGCGGCGACTGGGATGTTTGCTTGGCACTGGCTGGCGCATTGCTGCGCTCGCGCTAGCGCGCGCAAGCTCGCGCAAAGCGGCCAGCTAGTTTGTCGCGGCCGACGCGTCCGCGGTGGCGCTGACCGCTGGGGAATTCCCGGCGCGTCTCGCATAACGCCCTGACGCGCGGGCGTTTCAGTGCGGGCCGGTTTCGGTGGAGTTCCAAGTGGGGGCCGCGATCTTCGTGACGGGTGTGCCGACATGGGCGCGGGCGCCATGCGAACGCAACTGTTGGGGCCTTTGGGAGAGGTCCGTATGGTGCCACGATCTTCGTGAGGGCTGTGCCGATATGAACGCAGCCGCTTGGGTTTCCAATGGGGACACGGTCTTCGTGAGGGGTGTGCCGAAATGGGCGCAGCCGCTGGAGGGTTTCGGATCTGTACGAGACCCCATACATGTCGTGCCAGATCTGTATAGGATCCTCAACAGGCCGTGTTGAGCTTGCGTCGGGCCCTCTTACTACATCACCATTCTATAGAGGATTCGACCCAGGGCGTATCGCATGAGTATAGTTAGGATCCGAAACGGGCCGTATCGGAATTGCACGGGAATCCTTACACGCCGCATCGGATCTGTATAGGATCCAATATGTGAGGCGTATCGGATTTGTAAACGATCCAATACAGGCCGCATCGGATTTGTATAGGATTTTCTTCAAGCCGCACCAGATCATTGAAGGTTTTATACGGACCGTGCTGGGATTGTATAGGATCCTATATTTGGCCAGTCGGATTGGTATACGATCCCATACAGGCCGCATCGGCTTCGTATGGGAGATTGCACAGACTTTCAAAGGTCAGCGTAGGATCCTATACAGGCCGCGTCGGGGTTGTATCGAATTCCCACAGGCCGTATCGGACCTGTAAAGGACCCGATGCAGGCCGTACCGGTTCTGTGTAGGATCTTCCTGCAAACCGAGTCGGATCTCTAGAGGATCCGATAGCAGCCGTGCAAGATATGTATAGGATCTCATGCAAAGCGTATCGGATATGTGCAGGATCCCCTCACAGGCCGCATCGGATTTGTATTTTGGATTTCCAACATGCCGTTCTGGATCTGTGTAGGATCCCAAACAGGGATTATCGGGTCTGTGGAGGTTCCTATACAGGCCGCGCCGGTTTTTCGTAGGGCCCTATACACGCCGGTCCGGCTGCGTTGAGGATCCCATTTAGGCCGCATCGGTTTTGCACAGCATGGTTTACAGGCCGTGCGGGATCTGCACAGGCCGTTCGGATCTGTGTAGGATCTACGCAAGACGTATCGGATCTGTGGAAATTCTCTACAGGCCGCATCGGATCCGTATAGGATCCTGTACAGGCCGTGTCGGATCCGTATGAGATCCGACACGCCCTGTCAGGTCTGTGGAAAAGATACTATGCAGGCTGCACCGGATCTGTAGAGGATCCTATGCAGGCCATATCGGTTCTGCATTGGAGCTGATCCATGCCGCATCGGATTTGCACAGGGTTTTGTACAGATTGCATGGGCTCTGTAGCGGTTCCGATACAGGGTGCGGGTGATTTGTAGAGGATCCCATACAAGCCGTATCGGAGTTGTACGGTTTTTGTCCAGGCCGCATCGGATTTGTATCGCATTCGTTTCTGGCCGTATTGGATGTGTATAGGATCTTCCCCTGTCAGTATCGGATGTGTAGTATGACCTCCATGTTTTTTTTCGGATATGCATTGGATTCGTCACAGGTTGTATCGAATCCGCAAAAGGTCCTATACAAGGCGTGTCGGGTCAATGGAGGGTCGCCCACTGGCCGCATCGGATTTGTATAGGAACCTATTTTAGCATGTCGGATCTGTAGAAGCTCGTCCCAACCTGTATCGGAACTGCTACGGGATCCTCTACATGCCGGTTCCGTCTCGTATTGGGTCCGGAACAAGTCGTTTCGGGTCTGTATATAGGATTTCTTACATGCCGTACCGGATTTGTGTAGGATCCCAAATAGGGTTTATCGGATATGTGGAGGATCTATGCAGGCCGTATCGGATCGATTCTAGTATCTTACAGGCCGCATCAGTTTTGTACGGTTTACGATACAAGCCGCGTCGGATTTGTAGAGGGTCCCATACACGCCGTATCCGCGCTGTGTAAAATGTTCAACAAGGCGTATCGGATATGTAGAACAAGGGTCTTTTGCAGGTCGTATCGGATCCGTAGAGGATCCTTTACAGGCCGCGTCGGATGTCTATGGGATCCGACACTGACCGTGTCGGGCTTGTTGGGGATATGCTACAGGCCGTATCGGATTTGTAGAGGATCCCATACACGCCGCATCGGATCTGTATAGGAGCCGAAGCAGGGCGATCGAAACTATATAGGATGTTATAAAGGTCGCAGCGGCTCTGTATCGGTTCCGATACAGGCCGTGTCGGATCTCTAGAGTTTTGCGTATCGGTGTTGGATGTTCCACAAGGCGTATCAGATGTCGAGCATCCTCTACAGGCCGTATCGGAACCGTACAGGATATTGTGTCGGCCGTGTGTTTGTCGTAAGGGTCCTTCACAGGCACTGCCGGATGTGTATTTGATCTGGTACAGACCGTATCGGATTCGCACTGGATCCTACAGGCCGTGTTGGTTTTGTATACGAGCCGACAGGCCGCATCGAATGTCACAAATCTTCA